GCTTTGGTTTTTTATGTGTACGATTCTTAACTCGATTTTTTCCTGTTTAATTTACGCCTCTAGCTTTATTGCCTATTTTAGGGGATCGATTTGTGAATTACATCACTGAATGCCAACATGGACTTTCCATTTTTGTTAATATATATTAATACCTCGAAAGTTATTATACGTATCAAATTGGGGCTGATCTGCTAATAATCGTAAGCTTATCGTTATTATGCTTATGGATATTGCTCACTCGATTTTGTTATACGTGTATGATGTGTAAGGATATAAATAGCAATGCGTTTGTTTTAATCCCGTGATCGTTATGATCCCGATGTATTTATTTCTTAATGCGTAATTAATGGTGCCAGAAGTATCCTTAATATTATTTATTAGCGTCACTATAATATAGTCTATTGTGAGAATAATATTGTTGGCGTAAGAGGGAATTCTCTTGTTAGAGTCTTATGAAGCGTAATTCCTTTAATTAGATCCGGTTATTATTCATGATTGTTGCAATAAAAATAATGTATAGTGTTAATAAAACAATCGAAAAGATTACTTTCGAAATTCCGTCTCAATAATGGTTTGATATGATTATTCATCGCGGTTAAAAAATCTTAAAAATGCCCTCACACGTCGCAATTATCGTTGTATCACCACCGTAAAAATTATCGCACGTGTTCATATGGCCTCGCCAAATATAACATCTCGAAAGAGGTATCGCAGACGATTAAATGGAAATATTTCTTTCCCGTCAATGAGCAACCTCATTCATTTGCATCTGGTGACCTCGTGTTTGTTTCGGGTAAATACGTGGTTGAAAATTCAGAACAATGTATCACGGTCACGTACGCGAGCACTATTGATGATGAAAATCCTAACCGTGAATTTGATACCAGTAACGTTCCTACATGCGTTCCTCACTGTATGTTTTCCGTAACCGTTAATCGTAAGCCGAAAGAACTTGATGAATTTATCCATTTCGGTGTAGAAAGCGTAGAGTATAACCCCGTCACTGGTACACCTGATGTTAAAATGCAGATGACAGTTCTTTATTCTTGTCATTCTACTAGATTCCAAAAATATCTAGGTGCTTCTGGTTCGAATATCAAACTAAGAACTACTTATTTTGTATCGGGTCTCTTTAAGTTCTCACAATCTGGTAAGATGGTTATTGAAGCAACCGATATCGACTATTTGAAGACCTCAAATGCGAACTATATCGCTTCTGAAAGTTCTTCCTCAGTATTACCCGGGGCTCGTTCGATTATTGATATTGTAGCTGATGATATCGATTCTATAACTACTCAATCACCATTTAAACAGCCAGGGGTCGCGGCTTTTCAATCAAACCCGATAATATTGGCGCTTCTAGTTCATCAAGGGCTTCGGTAAGTGTTGATGCCGATGTCAAGATTAATTCTCCTCGTTGTGAAAAGAAGCCATGTTATGAAACAGATTACGTTGACCTGGATACTCAAGATAACGAAAAAGAATATAAATCAGATTATGAACGTAATAATGAGTTGGGTGATGAGGGTTTTCAAGATGACGAAGAAGAGCTGGAAGAAAACTTGCAACCTAGGAAACGAAAAAGGAGTATTAGAATAACAGCGAAAGAAAAAAAAAAATACCAGCAATAATTGATAAATAAAATTTAATACTGTAGATAAGTTTTAAATAAATTGACGAATCTACCACATTTTAGAAAAAAAAGTTATAAGATTGCTTAAGTTTGAAATTTATTTATTAGTAATTTAAGTGAAAATGCATTAAACTGGCTTGTTGGCTGGTAGTTACGTATCATTTGTTTTTTTATTAGTTGAAAAAAAATATTTTTGGATTTTTACCATTTTAAATAAATATTATATATTCACCTGACCAGTATTTTTGCAATTAATTAATCACGTGAATAGCCCAGTATTATTTAATGAAGTTGCTTATTTGATTGATTTATCTATTTAGGCATTTTATATAAAAGGGTCTGCTTTTACGACGTTTTTATATTGAAGCTATTATTATACTTTGAGCTGCATTATTTTCCAAGCTCACGATTACTAAATATGCATCTATGTGTTATCGAATTTTCATAAGATAACATAACCTCTAGTAACAGTACACGGTATGCCGTATATTACTGTAACTGTGGCTATGACTTAAAAATACTTGCTGATCAAATTAAAGTGGTGATTACTATTTATAAATATAGTAATATGATTGGGCACATTGTATAATTTACCGCTGACAAAATTTAAGCTGAATGTGGTAAATATTATGACCCATATCGAGTAAGACGTAACGAAAAGCCTATTACTGATTAATCCACAATCGGGAAAACTTCTGTTATATATGTTTCGCTTTCTAATTCAATTGCTGTATAAAATATATAAAAAGGATACGTTGGGTCGTAAAATGTATTATTGAACTTTCGAATCGTTCATTAGGATAAAGCCTTATATCGCCAAAACATTAATTTTATTTTTTAACATATAATTTCTTATATTAGCTTAAAGCGCGACATGATGGTTGTAGAGACTAAAGGTGAAGTCAAGAGGAGAAAGAATCGTGAACGAATGGCTTCTCAGCGAAACAATACTCGATATCGAATATCACAAAACACAAAACGAAATGCCATTCGGAAGAAAAATAGAACTCGATTACTTCTCGAAAAAGATCGTAGAGCAGATAGTTTAGGCGTTCCCTTACGCATTATGGAGTTAGATGATGATTTCGAAAAGATTCAGCAACAGCATTCTACGTGGCCCCAGCCTATTAAAAAAGAAATAGCTAAAGATACACTAACCGAATTTAGAGACAAGACTAGTCTTGATGAACTACGTGAATTACCATGCGCAGTTTGTTCAGGCATTAATGATTACAAGAGTTACAAAAAAATTTCAGTGAAAGAGATTGATCTTTCTTTAATTAAAGCACCGACGGACCTTACTGATCCGTCATTTGAAATCGATTTCGATTATAACCACCCTTACATTACCACCAGTGGAATGAATGTTCTTCTCGATCGTTGTGGATTCATCTACTCACCTGAAAATATTGATAACTCTTATGACCCCTTTCAGTTACGAATTTGCCATTCTTGCTATAACCATTTACAAAAACGGGTAACTCCAGCGCTGTCGTTAGCTAACAATATGTGGATTGGATCTACTCCCCTATGTCTTCAAGGCCTAACGATTTCGGAACAGCTCCTCATTTCACCTGGATACCCGTGTATGAATCTTATACAGTTAACAAAAAGAAGACATACCCATCACAAACTCAAAGGACATGTCATAACGTTACCTCAAAATCCGAGCTCGTTGATTGGCGTGCTGCCTCTGCCAATATATAAGCTTTGTGAGTACATAAAAGTTGTATTCGTCGGAAAAGGAACTCCTACCCAACACCAGCTCAAAAAAGTACTCCAGGTTCGAAAAAGTAAAGTGGCTGCGGCTCTTCGATGGCTTTTTGCGCATAATAAGTTATTTAAAGATAAACTTAGACTTGATGAGAATAATTTAAATACTCTACCCGAAGGGAAAATTCCAGAAGCCTTAGCTCTAACGACTACGGTTGTGGATATCGATTCTCGAGAAACGGAACATTACACTGGCTACACTTACGATACTTCGTCGAATCAACAAGGATCTGATAGCGAAAGTGACTATGGTGAAGGTGAAGAACCGCTTAATAATAGTGAACATGTTTTAAAAAATTCGGTCTATAATTCGATTAATAGTGCGGGTGAACTCAGACCTTCTGGTATAATAAATACCGACGATGTACCAATTACTAAAAAGGAGCTTACTTTGCTCTCCTTTCAAAAGCTTATTAATGGGCCACATTATTGTACTCGTGAAAAACAATCTTCGAGTGAAAACATGTCTGTATTAAGGAGCGAATCGATCCATTCACATGTATTAAATGTGCCCCATGGTAATAAACCTCTAAACGAATATGAAGATTCGACTCTTTTTCCTGCTGGTTTTCCTGTTCTCTTTCTGTATGGTGTTGGTGGTCATGAAGGTCGATTATCTCATGTATCATTGAAAACATATGCTAATCATCTTATGCGGCACCGTGATCCGAAATTCCGACAACACAGATCGTTTCCCTTTGTTATTTTTAACGTTTTACAGAGACGAGAAGTATCGGCAGAGTCTTACAATATAACAAGAAATAGCAACTTTAATCGATCCGCAAAATTAATATCATCCATAAAACTCGAAGATATTGACTTTGCTATTAAACGAATACAGAATAATCAATCGATTAATAACCCTGCTATTATTGAACTGCTTAGAAACATCGATTCTGCTGGTGCGAAGCTAATGGCTTCTCATCAATCACGTTCACGTATGTGCAATGAAATACGTGCTGTTATCATGCGAGATAGTACACCTTCGTTATTTGTAACGATAAATCCAGCTGATCTTCACAGCCCTATTGTCATGATGTATGCTGGAAGCGAAATTGATCTCGAGAATCTCATCCCTGAAAATTTTCCGAAGGCTTCGGAAAGAGCTTGGCTTGCACATCTCGATCCTACGGCTGTCGCTAAATACTTCGATGTTATTATCCGAAATATTATAGATACATTAATCGGATACAAAAGAAAAGACAATGGTATATTTGGGTCAGTAAAAAACTATTACGGTATTGTTGAATATCAAGATCGTGGCACTCCCCATTGTCATATGCTTATTTGGCTTTACGGAGCTCATGACCCAATCTTATTGCGTAAGAAACTTAAGAATGACGATGAATTTTGCAGACGTCTCCTAAGTTATGTTAGTGATATCGTTCGAGAAGATATCACCTACCTTATAAAAGATGAGCTAATAATAGATGATATAATTAAAGCCGAATATAAAGTTCCTAAAACAATGCTAGAAAAACGAATGCATCCATCTTTTCTACCCATACCTGATCCTAGGTCAAATAATTTTGAAGAAAAACTCAGGTTGGACTTACTTGCTATTTGTAAGCGTACGCTTTTCATCGCTGTACTAGCTCTTGCAAGAAATATAACCGTGGTTTACAAAAACACTGTCGATTCGACTTCCCTAGAGAACTCGTGGATCCACCCGGCATGATTTTTCCTGAACAAGGTATAATCGCCGTTCAACGTACAAGCGCCTTCTTTAATAACCATAACCCTTATGTAACAGCCGCGTGTAGAGGAAATAATGACATTAAATTTATTTCTACGCGGAAACTCGCCCTTGCTTATATTCATTATATTACAGATTATATTACCAAATCAAATCTTAGCACACATAGTTCTTTTTTAATATGTGCTTCCACCCTAGAAAACTTCTTAATTCGATCAAATGACGCTTCTTCATGTGATATTGTAAATAATTCACGCAAACTTGTAACAAAATATCTTAACAAAATGGCTGGGCAAACAGAGCTTACAAGCCCGCAAGTTTCTGCTTACTTACTAGGCATACGTGATCATTATACCCCAAACCAATTCTCATTAATACATCTTCGAACTTTTGAAATTTATCTCATGAAAGAATGGTCAAACATTCAACTTTTAAATGACACTGTTGAGATAAATGTTGAAACTGATGATGAATCTGATTTAGAAGAGCAAGGCGACCATGATCTAACATTTGAATCATTTATAATATCATCTTATAATGGCAGGTTAACTGCAATAAATCTCAGAATTGATTATCAGTTTCGAGGCGAATCATTGCGTAATATTTGTCTCTATGATTACGCATCTATTATTAGGAAAGTCCCGATAAATCCCCGTGAACTTTCTATGTTGTCAAATCAAGACTTGAGAGAAAACAAATCTTATGTTGATCGCTTTCTCTTCCGTGGTGGTGAATATGACGATGACGATATTCACAGCTCTAATGAAACTCACCCGCAATGTAAAACACATATTCAGTTGTATAAAAAAAGAGGTTCTGAAAGAGTAGTTGTGTTATGTGGTAAAGGATTACCTAAAAAAGATGATCTAGAAAATGCTGAGCGCTATGGGCTGTGTATTCTTATGCTGTTTAAGCCTTGGGAAAATGTCGGACACCTTCGCGAAAATTACGATTCGTAGGATGAGGCGTGTCAAGCTTTTTTGAATAGTCCTCAATTATCTTCGCGCCTTAAATCTGTAATTCTTAACATAGAGTTATTACATAGATGCTCTGAAGAGACAGCTCTCGATAGAGAATTACGCAAAAATGTGTTAAAAAATCCAATTCTCGCAAAGGCCCGTCTCATAGATCGTTCTGACGCTGGGTGTGATGCGTATGACGAATCAGACCTTTCTGATAATGATGATTTACCAGTAGATAATTCTCTTGATAACGGTATGCCTAGCTTCAACCCTGAGATTATCATCAGATCTGGTCTAAAAAATGCTACATTAGTTGATTCTACCATGAGTTACTTACGAATTCGGGGCAGGTTTACTTTAAAGAATTTTTCATTCCTGAGTAATTTAACATTTATCACTAATATTGAATCAGAAACTATACGTTCAAGCAACGTATATGATGATGACCTATTGAAAGTCTGGCAAAGTATAATCTCCTCTCGAAGAACAGCTCTGCGAGATAGTATTAATCCTACAATCAAAA